AAATAATCACATAAATATGTATTTACTGCTAAGTTCTATTGTTGAAGGTTCAGCGAGTAACTGCAAGGGCTTCCAAATTAGCCTTCCTGCTTCTTCACGCTCCCTTCCCCAATTTACCCACTGTTGCCTAGGTTACCATTCTTAAGGGCCGGTTCTGCCTCTGCCAGTTCTCGGCTTAAACTCCTTCAGTGGTTAAGTTGCTACTGACTCAGGAAAGGGCAGCTTTTTCTTGACTCTTTCTTTTGGACACTGCCTAGAACCTAAGTACGCTTTCTCCTTATACTGAGGGCTTGGTCACTCTTCCTGAAAACTCACCATATTAGTTATTTCTCCGGTGCTGTGATAAATGCCATGACCAAAACAACCCAAGAAAGAAAGACTTTCGTTTGCCCTTTAGCTTCAAAGGAGGGCGTCTACAATGGTTGGGGAGGCAGAGAGAGAACAGCTCCAGCTGCAAACATGGAACAGAGAGAGCCAACTGGAAGCAGGGTGGGCCACAGGCTCTTAAAATCTGCTCCCAGTGACAGACTTCCTCCATACCTCCTAAGGATTTTACAACTAGCTCCAAACGGGTATCAGCTGGGGACCAAGTGTTCAAACACACGTGCCTGTGGTGGGGGGTAGCATGGATGGTCTCATTCCAAACACTCTGCTCCATTCTTTGGCTCCCAGAGCCATATCATAATGTAAAATGCATTTAGTCCAACTTCGAAAGTTCCCATAGTCTATCACAGTCTAAACATAGTTTAAAAATCCAAAGTCTTTTCTGAGACGCAAGGCAAACTTTTCATTATAACCCTCTCCCATAAACTAAAAAAGCAAATTACATCCTTATAGCACACAATGGCATGGACTATCCATTGCCATTCAAAAAGGAAGGAACGGGGGCATAGCGAGGAAATACTGGCCAAAACCAATAATGAACCCCATCCTGTAGTTCCGTATCTGGTATCTGGGACTTCAGCTTCCAAGGGCTTAGATGGCCCCAGCCTCCCAGCTTTGCGCCCTACAACACACATTTCTTTCTTGGGCTGGTTCGCCTCCCTGTATGCAGCTCTCACTGGCAGAACAGCTCTGGTATCTCCAACATCTTGGGGTCATCTTTGCAGCGTCACATAGCGTCCTGTCAGGGCCCTCTTCTTGTAGTGACTCCAGCATTGTCACACCTTGCCCACCCTCGGTGGCTCCCTGAAACCATCGTGGAAGAATACATGACCTTCCACTTTGCCTGTCTCCCAAACCACATCCTGTGGATGACACAGCCACGTCTGAGTGGACCTTGGGATGGACCCTGGTCCCTTAAGTCATATTTGCAGTACACTCTGTATGCTGTGTTCTGGAAGCAGAAAACTCATTAGGCTTCTTCCTTTCACAAATTGGAAGCTTAGCTATGTGGGGCTCTTGACCTGAGGGTACCATTCCCATTGTTCCAAAGCTTAGTGGCACTAATCTCCTTAGCAATTACAAGCTCTCTCAGCACATGCTGTAACATTAAGCTTCTTAGTGCCTTCCTGTCCAAACTGTACCTTTTTTATTGCTTTTGCTCCACTTGCTCTTGACATTGTAGGCCCAAATAAGAAAAATCAATAATGACCACGTGTCTTAGGGTGTCTGTTACTGTGCTAAAACACCTTGACCATAAGGAACCCAGGAAGGAAAGGGTATTATTTTGCGTATGCTTCCACATCAAAGACCAACATCTATGGAAGTCCGGCCAGGAACTCAAGGTAGAATCCCAGAGGCAGGAATTGATGTAGACGCATGGAGGAGCACTGCTTACTGGTTTGTTCTCCATGGCTTGCTTGGCTTCATTTCATATAGCATCCAGGACTACCTTTTTGGGGCTGGGTCCTCCCACATCAATCACCAACCAAGAAAATGGACCACAGGCTTGCCTACAAGTCAATCTGGTGGGAGCATTTTCTCAACTGAGGATCTTTCTTCCAAAAGCTCCCTAGCTTGTGCCAAGTTGACATAAAGCTTGACAGCACAATTGACCTTTGTCAACTTGACACACAGACATGTCACTATTCAACTAGAACCTTTTCTTGTTTATCCCCAAGATGGCACATTAACATTAAAATGACAATGCAAACAAGTTAAGTTTAAAAGTTCCAATCTGTAAATTTAAAACATGTAAAGTTTCTTTCAAAGCTCAGTGTTTCTCTACAGTGTTATTCTTTCTGCGGGGTTGGAGACGGAGACGAAACGCGAGACACACGGCGGTGCGGGGTTAGGAAGGAGACATGGACACGCGGCAGCCCCACGTGGGTGCACTTTAATGGGGGGGGGGGTAACAACAAGTAAGGGACAGGTGTGAAGAGACGAAAGGGAAGGGAGGGAGAGAGGGCACGGCTTGAGGCGACCCTCGTTTTTAACGGGGAACGCAGGGGCGTCTGGGAGAAATGTCCTGCGCATGTGCAGCCTCTCATCGTGCTGGTATCCGTAGTCAAGGGGAATGCTGGGAGCTGTAGTCTCCAAAAGGAACAACATACAGTCTCCCAAGTTTCTCTAAAACAGCCAAAGTCTCTGTAAAATTTCATGGTCTCTTAACTGTGGGCTCCTGTAAAATGAAAAAATAAGCCTCATAATTTTTTAATCCAAGGAGGAAGAACAGTGACAATGTGAATAAAGTAAAACCAAACTCTCACACTGATAAAGACCCCTGGGACTCACTCAGCATCTTCTGGGCTCCGAAGGGCTGTGCAGCCATCCACACATAGCACACACAGCTTGTCTTGCAGGATCAGGCCAGCACCACTCCATGGTTGCTGTTTTCCCATTATACTGGCATCTCCAAAATGCTGGCGTCTGCCGCGCACTGCAGCCCTATGCATTAGACCCCAGTTCACAAGCTTGGGGCAAGGGGCTGGAGGTTGAGAACACAGAAGCAGAGACAGACCGACACGCAGACCTTTTAACACTGATACCAAAGCCCCTCTTTACTAGCAACATGTAGGCTTAAATACACTGCAGTCAATGCCCAACAGCTGAAAATCCCATCCTCTGATCCTCTAACTAGGCACAGCTTCTAGTAACTTTAATTAGAAGGTTCTAGGAGGGAAGAGCAGCTGAAGGCAAGGATTCATTAGTCCCAACATCCAGCTGAAGGCCAGGACTCATTAGTCCCAGCAGGCGTCTCCTTTGGAGCTGGGCTGCACCTTTAACATAGCTTCTCCCAGGTTCTCTTTAGGGAGTCTAAACCAGCTACATAGTGCCCAGCCTCAGTCTCTCTCCATAACTCCTTCCACACTGGGGTGCTCACTGATACCGGGGCTTCACTTTCGCCAGTGGCCTGTCTCAAATATCATAAGTCATGTCTCAGCTGCTCCCCATGGCCCCTTCATACTTTTAAACCCACCAGTACTCGCTGTAACATCAGATTCAGCTGGCAGCATGAGATTCAGCCTCAGCCTATTCTGGACCACAGCTTCTGTGTGCTGACCTGAGGAAACACTTCTCAGAAGACTGCAATTGTTCCAGAAAAGCAACGCTTCCACTTTCGTGGCTCTGGTCTTTTGTTAATGACAGCTGACTTCTCAGCCCCACATGACTAGAACCAGAAATTCTCCACTGAAAATATAGAATGGCCTTAACAGTTGTAATAAACCAGGCCTCCATCACCTGCATTTCTTCCGCCATTCTCATCTTCCAAGCTCCCACAGAACAGTCCACTGAGCACTAAACGCTCAATGGCTTTTACAGTCAACTGCCACTAAAATCCTTACCAAAAAACACGGGCAGGTCTGCCACAGCAATACCCCATGACTTGGCACCATTTTCTGTCTTAGTTATGAAAGACCCCCACTCACTAAGCAGCAGTAACGCCATTTTGCAAGGCTTAAACTTTGGAGCAACGCAAGTAATTAGAGCAGGGAAGTTCGACTTGAGAACAAGGGCGGAGAAGCCAGGCGAGATATCTGCGGTCAGCCGGTCAGCCATCTGGCCCCAAGCGATAAGGAACCCGCAGCTGGCCTGCTCTAATGAGAACATCCCGTTTGCTTAGGGAAACAGGATGCCTATAGTCAGCACATGTGCCCAACTTAGAATATCAGTAATTCACAGAAGAGACAACTCCCCCTATGAAAGATCCCAGCTTATCTGCTGTAACGTCATTTCACAAAGCTTTTGACGAACGACTGTAAGTGCAGAGTAAGGTCAGGGTCCCTGGCTGCAAAACAGGATCTTTATATCCATAGATTAGGACAGGACATCAATTAACAGGATATCTGTTCCCATACATCTGTGCTGGGAGAGGAAAAACCACCTGTGCCCCTTGCCCCATTCCAACTGACCACTAACGATGCATTTGCTTCTGTAATCTGCTTCTGCTGCCCTCTTTCCTATAAAAAGACCTTCCCCCAGTCTGCAGGCGCGCTTGTCTTCCGAGAGACTAAGTCGCCCCAGGTACCTGTGTACTAAATAAAGCCTCTTGCTATTTGCATCCGAAGAGTGACTCGCTGCTCCTTGGGAGGGTCTCCTCAGCCTGAAAGACTGCCCACCACTGGGGTCTTTCATTTGGAGGTTCCACCGAGATCTGGAGACCCCTGCCCAGGGATCACCGACCCACCACCGGGAGGTAAGCTGGCCAGCGATTGTTTTCCGTGAATATCTGTGCTTCGGTGTTTCTGTGTTTGCGCCTGCGACCGAATCTGTACTAGTTAGCTGACTAGATCTGTATCTGGCGGACCCGCGGAGGAGCTGACGAGCTCGCACTCCCGGCCGCAGCCCTGGGAGACGTCTCAGAGGCATCTGGGGCCAGATGTGGTTCCTGGCCCATCAGTAATCCTGTGAATCCTTCCCGGGTAGGACTGTTCGGGGCACCCCCACAGTCCGAAGGGTACGTGATTCTTCTGGGAGACGAGGAATCCGGGTCCTCAGAGTCTCCGTCTGAAGTTTTGCTTTCGGTATTACGCCGAAGCCGCGCTGCGTGCTTTTGTGTCGGTCTAAGTTGTGTTTTGGTTGTTTGTCTGATTGTTACTGTCACCGCGGTTGAGAGAATGGGCCAATCTATAACCACCCCTTTAAGCCTAACTTTACAGCACTGGCGAGACGTCCAAGACATTGCAAACAACCAGTCAGTGGACATCCGGAAGAGACGCTGGGTAACTTTTTGTTCCTCAGAATGGCCAACGTTCAATGTGGGTTGGCCTAGGGATGGTATTTTTGACATTAATGTCATCCTGCAGGTAAAAGCTAAGGTGATGGATCCTGGCCCTCACGGGCACCCAGATCAGACTGCATATATCGTGACCTGGGAAGCAATGGCTTATGACCCGCCACCATGGGTCAAGCCTTTTATTACACCAAAGACCCCTGCCCTTACTCCCTCTGCACCTACTTTGCCCCCTCCACTCCTCCCCACCCCGGCGGGACCCCCACCCCACTCCTCCCTGTACCCAACCCTCACCAAGTCCCCGATGCCCAAGCCCCCTCCCCCAAAAGTCTTACCCCCAGATGATGACCTCCTGATGGACCTCCTCACGGAGGACCCTCCCCCGTATCGGGAGCCAGCTCTGCGGCCTCCAAATGAGGCTGACTCAACCGAAAGAAGAGAGGAGCAAGCGGCGCCAGCCTCTGCTGCCTCTGCCGATCCTTCTCCGATGGCTGCACGCCTGAGGGGAAGGAGGGATCAACCACCTGCGGCGGATACAACCTCCTCCCAGGCATTCCCTCTTCGCACAGGAATGAACGGCCAACTCCAATACTGGCCGTTCTCTGCCTCAGATCTGTATAACTGGAAAAATAACAATCCTTCTTTTTCCGAGGACCCCTCTAGGTTGACAGCTTTAATTGAATCCATTTTGATTACCCATCAGCCTACATGGGACGACTGCCAACAGATGTTGCAGGCTTTGCTGACCTCGGAGGAACGGCAGAGAGTCCTCCTGGAGGCCCGGAAGGAAGTCCGGGGACCTAATGGCCGCCCCACCCAATTGCCTAATGAAATAGATTCTGCCTTTCCACTTGAACGCCCCTCTTGGGATTTCACCATGATAGAAGGTAGGAATCACCTAGCCCTCTATCGCCAGTTGCTCATAGCGGGTCTCCACAGGGCGGCTCGACGCCCAACGAATTTGGCTCAGGTAAAGCAGGTTATCCAGGGGTCAGAGGAAACTCCCTCTGCGTTCCTTGAGAGGCTCAAAGAGGCTTACCGCAGATATACTCCCTATGACCCTGATGACCCCGGACAGGAGACCAATATCTCCATGTCTTTTATTTGGCAGTCAGCTCCAGATATCAGACGCAAATTGGAGCGTCTAGAGAACCTCAGGGAAAGCTCACTCAGGGATCTGTTAAAAGAGGCAGAGAAGATTTTTAATAAGAGGGAGACTCAGGAAGAGAGGGAAGATCGCCTCCGAAGAGAAGCCGAGGAACGAGAGGATCGTTTTAGGAAGGAGTATGAAGAAAAGGAAAAGGAGAGAGACCGTAAGAGACACAGGGAAATGAGTAAACTCTTGGCCACTGTAGTGTCGGGACAGAGGCAGGATAGACAGGGAGGAGACAGAAGGAGGCCCCCTCTTGACAAGGATCAATGTGCCTATTGCAAAGAGAAGGGACACTGGGCAAGAGATTGCCCTAAGAAACCGGACGGATTTAAAAGACCTGGACCACGCCGTGCCTCCCTCCTAACTCTTGATGACTAGGGGGGTCGGGGTCACGAGCCCCCCCCCCGAGCCCAGGATAACCCTAGAAGTTGGGGGGCAACCGGTCACCTTCCTAGTCGATACAGGCGCTCAACATTCGGTGTTAACCCGGGACCCGGGACCCCTGAGTGACAAATCTGCCTGGGTCCAAGGAGCCACTGGTGGAAAACGATACCGATGGACCACAGATCGCAAGGTTCACTTAGCAACCGGTAAGGTGACTCATTCTTTCCTCCACGTGCCTGACTGTCCATATCCGCTCCTAGGAAGGGACTTGCTCACAAAATTAAAAGCCCAAATTTACTTCAAAGAAACCGGAGCACAGGTAGTTGGCCCTCAGGGACAACCCTTACATGTGCTGACTCTCAGCCTAGAGGATGAATATAGGCTGCATGAAAAAGACAGTACCACTGCGGCCCCCACTGAGGCTTATTGGCTGGATCGCTTTCCCCAGGCATGGGCAGAAACCGGGGGAATGGGGCTGGCCAGACAGCAGCCCCCTCTAGTGGTAAGCCTCAAGACAACTGCTACTCCTGTCTCGATTAAACAGTATCCCATGTCTCACGAGGCAAGGGAAGGAATAAGGCCTCACATCAAAAGGCTTCTTGACCAGGGAATATTAGTCCCCTGCCGGTCCCCTTGGAATACCCCCTTGCTGCCCGTAAAAAAGCCAGGGACTGGGGACTATAGACCTGTGCAAGATCTAAGAGAGGTCAATAAACGGGTGGAAGACATACACCCGACAGTTCCTAACCCCTACAATCTGTTAAGTGGACTATCACCCTCATATACTTGGTATACCGTCCTGGACCTTAAGGATGCATTCTTCTGTCTGAGACTGCACCCCAGAAGTCAGCCCATATTTGCCTTTGAATGGAAGGACCCTAGGCTGGGGATTTCAGGACAGCTGACCTGGACCAGGTTGCCTCAGGGTTTCAGAAATAGCCCCACCCTGTTCGATGAGGCCCTACACCGAGACTTAGCGGATTTCAGGGTGAGGCATCCTGGCCTGATGCTGTTACAGTATGTTGATGATCTCTTGTTAGCTGCTACTTCGGCTCAGGACTGTATAAAAGGAACTGAGGCATTACTACAAGCCTTGGGGGATCTAGGGTACCGAGCTTCTGCCAAAAAGGCCCAAATATGTCAACGGCAGGTCACCTACTTAGGGTACCAAATCAGAGAAGGACAGAGATGGCTAACGGAGGCCAGGAAAGACACAGTTATAAAAATCCCTACCCCTCGGACACCCCGCCAGCTGAGAGAATTTCTAGGGACAGCGGGATTCTGCCGGCTCTGGATCCCCGGATTCGCGGAACTGGCAGCCCCCTTGTACCCACTGACGAAGCAGGGGGTGATGTACTCATGGGGATCGGATCAGGACGAGGCTTTTCAGAAAATCAAACGGGCTCTGCTTACAGCCCCAGCCTTAGGCCTCCCTGACCTGACTAAGCCTTTTGATTTGTTTGTTGACGAGAAGCAAGGATATGCAAAAGGGGTCTTGACCCAGAGGCTGGGGCCCTGGCGGCGGCCAATAGCCTACCTATCCAAGAAGTTGGACCCCGTGGCCACAGGATGGCCCCCATGCCTCAGAATGGTAGCAGCAGTGGCAGTCCTCACCAAGGACGCTGGCAAACTGACTATGGGCCAACCTTTGACCATCCTGGCCCCACACGCAATTGAGACTCTAATCAGACAACCCCCAGATCGCTGGCTCTCCAATGCCCGCATGACCCATTATCAGGCCATGCTCCTGGACTCGGACCGAATCCATTTCGGACCAGTGGTGGCGCTCAATCCTGCAACCCTGCTACCACTCCCAGAGGAGGGGGAGACGGACCAACACGACTGTCTCGAGATCCTGGCGGAAATGCACGGGACCAGACCGGACCTGACGGATCAACCCCTCCGGGATGCGGATGTCACCTGGTACACTGACGGCAGCAGCTTTCTGCGGGAAGGTGAGCGAAAGGCGGGTGCAGCGGTAACCACGGAGACCGAAGTGATCTGGGCACAGCCTCTGCCTGCAGGGACTTCTGTGCAGCGAGCAGAGCTTGTCGCCTTGACACAAGCTTTGAGGATGGCAGAAGGTAAGAAGCTCAATGTCTACACTGACAGCCGATATGCTTTTGCCACTGCTCATGTTCATGGGGAAATATACAGAAGAAGAGGGCTACTGACTTCAGAAGGAAAGGAAATTAAAAATAAAACAGAGATCTTAGCCTTGTTAAAAGCTTTATTTCTGCCTCGAAAACTGAGCATTATACATTGCCCAGGACACCAGAAAGGAGACAGCCCTGAGGCTCGAGGAAACCGGCTGGCTGATGAAGCCGCCAAACAGGTGGCCCTGCAGGCTCCGCTAGCCATACTGCCCATGCACCAAGATAAGAGAGACCCCCTCAAATATGATGAGGAGGATCTAAAGCTCCTGGCAGACATGGGAGCGGAGCAGGACCAGAAAACGGGCGAATGGACATGGAAGGGAAAAACAGTGATGCCGATGGCATACACTTATAAGATGCTTGATTACTTACATAAATTGACCCATCTAAGCCCCCGAAAGATGAAAACCTTGTTAGATCGGCAGGAAACTTTTTGCTATTTACTGGGGCGAGACAGCATCCTCCAAAAAGTTATGGACAAATGTAGAGCATGTGCACAGGTAAATGCAGGAAAAACCAAGGTGGGGCAGGGGGTGCGAATCCGCGGACATCGACCAGGAGTACAATGGGAAATTGACTTTACTGAAATAAAACCAGGCATGTATGGATACCGGTACTTATTGGTATTTATGGACACCTTTTCGGGATGGGTAGAAGCCTTCCCGACCAAGCATGAGACCGCAAAAATTGTGACCAAAAAGCTACTGGAAGAAATCTTCCCCAGGTATGGCATGCCCCAAGTGCTGGGCACTGATAATGGACCTGCCTTCGTCTCCCAAGTAAGTCAGTTGGTGGCCAAGCTATTGGGGATTGATTGGAAATTACACTGTACATACAGACCCCAGAGTTCAGGACAGGTAGAAAGAATGAATAGAACTATTAAGGAGACTTTGACCAAATTAACGCTTGCAACTGGCTCTAGAGACTGGGTACTCCTACTACCCTTGGCTCTATACAGGGCCAGAAACACTCCAGGACCCCATGGACTCACTCCCTTTGAAATACTATACGGGGCGCCCCCGCCCTTCATTAATTTCTTTGATTCCAATATTTCAGACTTTGCTAATAGTCCTTCTCTGCAAGCTCATTTGCAGGCACTCCAAATCGTGCAACGTGAGGTCTGGAAACCACTTGCTGCAGCCTACCAGGAGCAATTGGACAGACCAGTGGTGCCCCATAACTACCAGATTGGCGACACCGTGTGGGTCCGCAGGCATCAGGTTAAGAATCTGGAACCCCGCTGGAAGGGACCCTATACCGTGCTACTGACCACCCCGACCGCGCTGAAAGTTGACGGCATCGCAGCCTGGGTCCACGCGTCGCACGTCAAAGCAGCCAGCCCTCCTGATGAAACCACAACCGGGGCATCACGGAGGGTCCACCGCACACAAAACCCTCTAAAGATAAGACTTTCCCGTACCTAGTCTTGGTGATGCTTATAACCCCCCCTCGCGCCCTGGGAGGACACTCAGTCTCGCCCCACATTGTGGGGAAGAGCACCTGGACCCTCATAGTAGCTGGTACAGATGTGGTCCTCAATGTCACAACCATGAAGGGACCCAAGAATCTAGGATGCCCACCCGAAATGAAAGCCAATCTAGTCACCTTGTTCCAGGCAGTGGACCGGTTCCCGGTAACAATGCTGATTGGTATGCCTGTCCGGGGACCCGGAGCCATAAACGATGCTCACATAGCACGGCTAACCAATATTATTGTAACACTTGGGGCTGCGAAACCTCCTCCTGGGGATCCCTGGCTAGCTCTTGGGGAACCCCCCAGGGAAATGATCCCCTACACATAGAATACTGGGATAAGACCCCTTACCCCTCCGGCCCAAACATTCGCCTGACCTTTTCAAAATGTAAGGATCAGGCCCCTGCCCTAACAGGATCATGGGGGATCCGGCGATACGACCCCACCGGTCCAGATCATGGAGCTATAATCACTCTCACTTATGGCTTCACCCCAGATTCTCCATCCTCGTCCCTGGGCCCCAACTCAGTCCTGGGCGACCAACAGGCTCCATCCCCTCCCAAACCTCCCCCAGCGCCAGCCCAACCCCCCTCAGGAAACGCCACCCAGGCACCCTTCTCAACTTCTTCAGCGGAGGACTCGTCCCCGTCAGTACCCACTCCGGCGGTATCCGGAACTGGGGACAGGTTGGTCGGCCTTATACAGGGGGCATATCAAGCCTTAAACCTGACTAACCCTAACCGGACTCAAGAATGCTGGCTCTGCCTACTACCTAGGCCCCCCTATTATGAAGGGTTGGCACTCATGGGGAATTTTACCAATCAGACCTCCCCACCAGCCCAATGCTCCGATATACCACGGCACAAGCTGACGCTATCGGAGGTGTCAGGAGAGGGCCTTTGTATAGGAAAAGTCCCACCCTCACATTCACTTCTCTGCAACACCACACTAGCCCTGCCCCAGGGCACTTATTACCTAACACCTCCCAATGGCACTTACTGGGCCTGTAGCACGGGACTGACCCCTGTGTGTCTTCCTCAGTCTTAAACATATCCTCTGATTATTGCGTGTTAATTGAGTTATGGCCAAAAATAACTTACCATGAACCAGAATATGTGTATGCTCAGTTTGAAGGAAGACCTAGATTCAGGAGAGAGCCAGTGTCCCTCACCCTAGCCCTCCTGCTTGGGGGATTGACTGTTGGAGGCATCACGGCAGGGATAGGGACCGGAGCAACAGCCCTTGCCGCCACCCAGCAGTTTAGGCAGCTACAGGCAGCCATGCACACTGACATAAAAGCCTTGGAGGAATCGGTCAGTGCATTGGAAAAGTCCTTAACCTCACTGTCTGA